TAAGAAAAAAAATAAAGATCGCTGACTCCTGATCCAAAAAATAAAAGAATGTGGGGAGAGAGAATAAATAACTTTCTTTAAGTTTCATGTTACTGTATAAGATTGAGCATCCTTAATCCAAAAATCCAAAATCCAGAACTTTTTGAGTACCATGACATAAGTGGAAAATTTCACATGAGCGCATGCGATGGGTTGCAGTCAAAACAATCAAAACTTTGTATCATCAACTACACACCTACCCAAGAGAAAAACATAATTAAAATCAAGTAGGGAGAAGGGGAAATAGAGGGGGGAAAGGAGAGGTGGGAGGAGGATTGGCAAGCTCTCACCTAATGGGCACAATGTAAGGGTATCTGGCACACCTCCTGGTGAAGGGCCCAACTACAACTTGTATAATTAAAATAATAAAATAAAATAAAAAACTTTTTGTTTCATGCACAAATATTAAAACTATTGTGTAAAATTACCGTAAGGCCACATACATAAGGCATCTATGAAACATAAATAAATTTTCTGTTTGGATTTGGCCCCCATCCCCAAGAGGTCTCATTATATGTATATTCAAATATTCTAAAATATGAAAAAGAAAAACCTGAGATCTGAAACACTTTTAGTCCCAAGTATTTTGGATAAGAGATACACAAACTGTATATTCATTCTTATTTTTCTTAAGCAGAAGTGATGTGCAAAGGATTGTGCTCAGTGCTGTGGAGAGTGCAAAAGAAAAGCCTATCGATCCCTTGATCCCTTTCCTTCACGGGTAGTTAGTGTCACAGTAATTTAAATAAATCCCTCAAGGAGTTTATAATCTAGTGGGGCCAACTGGAAAGGTCTCCAGGAATTGTCACGAAGGACCAGATTAAATCTGTGACCATCCAAAGAATAGAATTAGATCTAGTGATTAAAAGTTGTAGGAAGGCTAATTTCACTACAGTATATATATGTATAAAAAAAGAAAACCTTAAAATAATGTAGTTGTTTTTAAGAACAAAATGAGCTATTTGGGAGATCAGTGAGCTGCCCGTGCTTCCTGGGAGCATTCAGACAGCATTCTTGTTAGAGGTCCTTCCCACCCTGAGATCTACCATGAATTTGAGCCATCTTGGACTAGAACAAAGGACTGGGCTGATGCCTTCTTAAGCTGCAGAGGCTAAGCTGAAGAAGTGTGAATATAAACTAAGTATCTGTGACTTGAGATTTCCCAGTGTACTGAGATTTTCCTTATATGTCCAAACAGCATGTTTTGGACCCCTTCCACTGTGGAACCCCAATATCTTGAGAACTCTCTGAGGGCCTGTATTTCTCCCAGGCACATTTTCTAAGGCACAGCTTCTAAGTGCCCAAGACTCCCGGATGGCAGCCGTTTTCTTTTTCCTTTCTTATGTAGCCCCAGACAGGATATGGGCGCGGAGGGGTCAGGGACCTCCATGCTGTACTAGTTCCTCACTGTCTCTTCTGCGCTGCCCTGTAATCTTGCTCTCTGCTCTCAAACCTTAGTAAAAATCAGCTCCACACACTAACCTTGTGTCAGTGGTTCTCTGGGGAAGCTAAAAAGATGGGTGCTCAACTAGCCCAGAAGGGACAGTGGCACCAGGCCTCTGAAGTTCTTCAGCCTTCTGTCTGTAGGGCTCAACCAAACACAGGGTCCCATTTTATTTTCTTAAGCTGGGCATCCTGTCTGGCCTTGCATATCCAGGGTTTGTCCACAGTTTTAGGCATTCTTACCCAAAGACCCATAAAGGCAATTTCTTAGGCAACAGAATCATCTACCTAGAGTTACCACTCCCCTCTAAAGAGGTATCAGTTTTTATTTTATTTTATTTTCCAAATCAGGAAGAAAGAGAGTTCCCAGTTACACCAAAAGGCCTTTTCCTTTGCATGCGAAGGGTAGTGACTCATTCCCTGGTGGGCTCCGGAGTGTAGGTACTAGACAGGACACCTTGCTGTATGTCCTCATGTGGATCTCTATCTTTCCAACACGCATGCATCTTTCTCCTTAGCACAAGGTCGGGGCCTTTGGGACTAAAAAATCGTTGATCATATGTTTTCATTTCTTGGCTAAGGAGGGAAGAGAATGTTCTCATTAGAGAAGTCCAAGCCCAGAAAAATATGGAAATTCTGCCCTGGCGACTCCGAGAATTTTCTTTTGGAGGGTGGTGTTTTGTTCTTTTTCCATACCTTAGCATTCTTAGTTCTCCACACTGCAGGCAATTTAGTTAACATTCAATCACAGTCCACCAGAGAGAAGGGAGGTCCAAGGACCCTGAGGGTGGAGCTGGGTAACCACCCAGCCCTGAAAGTAAACCCAGGCCCTCCAGCCCGAGGTCTAAGGGAAATCAGGCAATGAGACTGAGACCAGAAGGACTGGGATTTGTTCCTCTTTCTTATTTGTTTCTGTAGGACTCTGCAGCTGAGTTTATTTGCTGCAGTTTGGCACTTCTTGCCCTGAGCTTTTGGAGACAAAGACTCAGGGAAGGAAGGAGAAGACAAGGGAATGAGGAGGCCCAGGAGGTGGAGCTACAGGGATAAGAAAAAGAGGCCCAGGCCCCTGAGTGTTGTGTTAGCCAAGCAGGAATGCTGCTGAAGACAGACGTGTGTTTGCAAAGGTTGTGCCAGCTGGGTTGTCCCTACAAGGGGGAAACACTGGGGACCACTAAATTAGTCAGAGGTCCCCAAGGTGACTCCTCCTCAGTCGCCATGTGGCGGAGATTCAAAGGGTGGAGTCCTCTCCCCTCTGGAAAATATCTGATAAAATTCTTTTCCCTTTTCTTTTTTCCCTCTTACATGTAGCCCCAGACAGGATATGGGTGTGGGGTCAGCAGGCACTAAGGACCCAAAGGAAGAAGAGGAATGTGATGGGAAGGGACTGGGGTTGTTGTTAGTGTGAGGAGAGGGGCAGACCTTGAAGGGCTTGGAGGAAACAGATACCCTGAGCCGGACTAAAGGGGTTCCCTAATTACCTGAGAGGCTTCCTGTCTTGGCTGGTGCTGTGCCAGTGCTGCCTGGCAGCCCCCCAGCCCCCACTCTGACTGGGGTCTGTGATCTACCCCGAGCCCAACAAACAGAGCCCACTTGTGGTCGAGTGCTGTGACTATGCCCATGCCAGCTTCTCACAGGGACAGAAAAAAGACCTCCTGGAGCAAATTTACCTCTTTGCTGAGGTAAATGACAAGAACACCACAGAATCACCTTATGCTTTAAATTCCACAGTAAAAATATTTAACAGCATTTCTGCAGTGGTCCTTTGGTAGCATTTCAAGGTATAGTAATTCATTTTACTTATTCTAACAACGCATCCCAGGACAGAGAAGGACTCCTAGTATTACAACAAATCAAAACAAAGCCCCTAGCAAGCTCTTGAAGAAGGCATAAAGCTACAACTAGCCCATGTAGTCAGGCAAGGTGGAGAATGGTACCCAGCTCCCACTGTTCCTCCCCAAAGCTGAGACACTGAACCCTCAGCATACAGCATATCAGCCTAAGGTTTCGCCAAGGTTGCGTTGATCGCATCCCAACCTCAGCAGGCCAAGACGAGACTGAAGCTGGCCAGCTGAAGAAATAAGAAATGGGTGGACCCACTCGGCCAAGGACCAGGTCAGCATGCGCTGTCTCTGGCCAAAGGAGAGTGGAGCCTCTGAATGGAATCCAAACCATTGGCCACTGATCCTTGTTATGAGGGCACAGTCTAGCACCCATCAAGGGTTCCCAAATCTCAGCTGGTCCCACGCCCCAAAGGTCTGCCAAACAGGACAACCCAAGACCTAACTCAGAGCTTCCTCCAGCCCTGAGCCAGTTCTCTCCAATTGGTTGGACACAAAAGGCCAGCAGAAGAGACTGGGAGCAAAGAGGCCTAGTCCGGGTCTCTGGCAGGGCCATGGTGGGTGGCCTTTACAATGTAGTGAGAAGAGGGAACTGGGAGCCCCACAGGGATGGAAGCAAAAGAGCAAGCAACTTACAAAGTTTCAGCTTTCCAACTGCAGTGAGATGAGATGGATGGAAAATGTTATTCCTCCAATGAAAGCAATCAAATATAAATATTTATTGGGCACCTATACATATACACATTTATTTTTACCAAAGTGAGAACAAAAGCTTAAGAAGTAAGGCTATACAGAGTGGACTGAGAGAGTGTCCTGACCCGTCTACCAGCTTTAGAACTTGGAAGAGAGCAGAGGAGGCAAACTCCAACCGGTAACAAGTTTGAGATTGTGCAGGGCGAGGGGGTGTAGTGAGGAGAGGAAGGCTGGGAGCAGACCATACTCCCTCTCCGACTACCTCCTTTCCAGGCTGATAGTGTAGTTTCCGTAGGAGGAATTCGAATTAAGCTTTCCAATTTTAAATGTAAGATTTTTTCCCATGACCGTATCAATGTATCCAGCTATGATGTAATAAAAAAAAAAGATTTTTTTTTTTTTTCCCACAGACCGGTAGTCATTGCAAACTCCTCTGCTCACCTAACTCAGCCTTCTCCCGGGGCGCCCTGGGCTTTGGACACGGTGTACTTCGCCCCTGGTTGACTTCCCTCGAATTCCTTAATGACCCCCTCGGGGTCTCCGTGTCCCTGTGAGCAGTGGCCTCCGGAGCCCCTTCCTTGCAACCCTCTCTGGGCCTCTGCTTTCTCAATCAACCCACAGCCACAAAACTTCCCGGCTTCTCTCCTCCCCTTCTCCCGGTTCGAGATCCAACTTTGCGCTCCGCACCTTTGGCAGCGCAAAGACACTGGCATCCCCACAGAACTTTATCTTAGGAAATCGTGGAGTCAGGCTCACCCCTCAGCTAATTCGCACACCCCCTGCAGTGGCCTTCCCCTCCCCTGCCCTCCTGCCGCCACCGATCCCAGGTGAGGCGCTTGTCCGGCCTGGAGCAACCGGGGCGCCGGCGCGTGGGTGGGGCGGGGATCGCTTCCCTCCCCAAGACGTTGCCCTGCGGCTCAGCCCCAGGAGAGCCTCGCGACCCTCCCCGCGGGACGTGGGGCGGCCGCGGCGCGCGGCGCTACTCACGCAGCAAACTCAGCAAGCAGAGCGCGGTCCAGCCCCGCGGCATCCCCGGCCCCGCGCGCGCGCTCCTGCGGACCAGCATCCTTCCCGCGCCGCCGCTGCCGAGAGATGCACGGAGTCGAAGACACTGCCCCGCCGGCCCAGGACGCGCTCCTCCCGCCCCCTCCGCCCGGGAGAGGGGTGGGAGATTCTTGCTTTCTTCCCCTCCCTTCCCTCTTTAGTCTTGGCAAGGCCGGCCCCTCTCCTTGGCTGCCACTAACGTGAGCTTCCCTGGATAGTCCCAGAGGCGGAGGGCGTTTAGGAGGGAGGCTGGGGTTGCCGCCGTCGAGGCCAAAAAAGGTGGAGGTTTGTGCGGCCCCAGACGCCTTGTTCAACTTCTTTTGAACAAGAGGCCCCTCGACTTCCACTTAACTTTTAACCCCTTGGTGTCAGCCTTGCCCGTGGCAGGACAGGGGCAAAATTCCTCCGATTTTCTTTCTGCTTTTCTTTCTTTTTCCTTATTTTGAAGTGTTAAGCAGTAACCATCTTGTGGAAGGAATCTACTGTGAAGACCTCAGTTTAGAAGTATGAGCATTTTGCTTATCTGGTAAAATTTACCGCATGTCCAACCTGACACGTTTAATGATAGACCAGACAGTGTGCTACGTGGTAACGACGTACAGAGTGAGCAGGACACACAAGTGACTATAATTATTCATTTCAGCTGTCCAAACCATTCTTGTAGACTTTTCCTTTCACTTTTTTTTTTTTACTGCAAAACTCATTGGTGTTAACTTGGAGGAGTTTTTCCTGTGACTGTCCACATTTTCCTGCTTAGTTTAATCGTAACCATCATCATTATAAGGAAAAAGGGGTTTCCTTGTACCTGGGATGGCCTCTCTCCCATCAGCCCCTCTCCAGCCTTGATCTAAGTCTCAGGGGCTCCTGCTTGTTCTCCCATCAGAAGAAAGACTTCCTGAGCCTCCACCCTCCATCACCTGATCTTGAGCTTCCTGTTTCTTGCCGGTTGTTCTGGATGTTGGTGAACAGAACTGCAGAAACTCTGAGCTGGGCAGTCAGCCTAGTCACGGATGGACGTGGAGGTGGAGGCTGGAAAGACAGGAGCCAGGCTGGGCAGGTGATGGCACCAGGCAGGGGATAAGATTAGGCATATCCTGAGAGAACAAGCTCGGATAGCCTCAGTGAAATTGCAGGATTTCAAATATTCAGTGTAGTCTCTTCCATAATGTCTGTGCTATGTAGCCTAACGGGGGGCACAGAGAAAGTCACCTGTGGTCCTTTCTGATTTCTTGTTCTGCAATTGCTCCAGCATTATGAAAGTAGATTTATCTTGATGGTTCATCTCAGCATTTGGGTTGAACAGAAAAAGGGTGTCCAGGTCTAAAATCATGACCAAATCTGCTTATTCTGATCCTGTTGCCCAACATTCCTTTAAATAAGGGATTAAAGCCTTTCATCACACAATTAAAAAAAAAGGCTTAATATGTAAATTTGTTTGAACACAATGGTATGATATGAATCTGTTTCAAAGTGCAAATGAGGATTTGGATCTGACCACATTGTGATCAAAAACGCCTGAAGCTGGGTAGTAAAACTGCATTTTAAAATCAGGCATTGGTCTTTCAGACTCTCAATTAAAAGGAAAAAGAAGTTAGCTCCAATTCCACCGTGCCCCCTCAACCCCCTCAGCTCCAGGACCTGGGTCTGCTTTGGGCCCGCAGTGTGAGATTGTGAACAAAATGTGGGGTTGCAATTTCTGCTAGATATGAAAAACAATTGGGCCCACTTGGCTCTAACTTCATTCTCAGAAATTTCTTCTGGTTACTTCAAATACCATTTCTCTCCCGTAGCTGGTCCACAGGAAAGAAAGGGGAGAACTTGTCTCTAGTGCTTGAACTTCTTAACTAGCTTTGAGTGTAGAGAGAGGGAATGATCATATGGAGTGGAGTTTTTCAAAGCATGGTCTACACAGAATCGGAATCAAGGGCTGAGGGTCTGCACTTTCAACAATAAGAACTCTCTGTGATTCTTATGCACACTGAAGTTCAGGAAGTCCTGGTATAGAAAGAAGATATGATTGGTACAAAGGAGTGAGGGCAAAGTGGATGTCAGGCTTCAAGGAAGGAACCTAGGAGTAGAGGGTCTGAGAGGCTGGCAAATCATTTCCTCTGAGAGACCAGAGCTGTTCCTTTTCTGGCCTGTAAGGCTATAGATAGCACCAGAACAATGAAGGTGATGATGCGTGGCCACTCTACGTATTTCTCAGCCATCACTGAGATTCATCACTCCACGCGCACACACCCTCTCCCAAACCACCCACAAACACAAATTTCTAACCACTGGACACATGTCCGCTTAGGGACTCCAGCCTTATGTTAGCTGCTAGGCTGGACAGAGTTGAGCTGTCAAGTCTCATCCAGGCTCCAGCTTTCTGGGCTATTCCCCAATTCTCTGCTCCCCTGTTCCATCACATCAGCTATTGCCAGGAGAGAAGGTTAGCTACACTGCCCAGAGATGGGGTGCAACAGGAGCATGCTGAAGAATATCCTCATAGGTCATGACCACTTCCCACTGGACATCCCCTAGTCCATCCTACCCCAATCACACACACATCACATCAATCTAACCTAAAGTAGACCCTCATCCCGTGTGAAATACGTATAACATCTTTGATGTTTAAAGAAATAAAGTAAATGTTTTTTGTCATTTTGAGTTTTAAAATAAATTCTTCATTTTGTTCTTAAAATTCAAACTTTATTGCAATTTCATAATACTATTTAAAAAATGAATTGCAGTTTATAAGTTGACTAAGTTTACCTTTTGCAGGCATTTAATGAAAATGCTGTTAATTTTGATTTTTCAATTTCATCTTTTTGCAGCCAAGGCTGTTTATCCCACATGCAAGATTTTTTTGGTGAGTTATGGAAGCACTCAGGGTTTGGGTCCCAGTTGGACAGGAAGGGATCCTTGGTGGTGGAGGTGTGCAGATGGTAGCCTGACTTTATAGAACCTGCATCCTGAAATGAGTGCCTTCTTTCCTCTTTCCGTCTTTCAGTCTCCCTCTAGGGCTTCCTCTTGGCAGAACCTAACCAGGAACCAGTTGACAGTGGAGTCTGGGAAGCATGGTGACTGATTCCCAGCCCCAGTGACCTGTAAGAAATCACCTTGATGCAGTGTTTGCCTCCACAATCGGCAGGATATTCTAGGGCCCACATCCCAGAAAGGCTCAGACCAAATTACGATGGCTAAATCACAGGGGTTATTGAATCCATTTAAAAACATACAGCCAGAACCCAGTGGACAGAGTTGGCATATATAACACGTATGAGGGCACCAGCAGGATGGAAAGTCTGCGCTATCTCAACCTAGTGTTTTGCTCTGGGGTGATGATGTAGTTACAAGGAACACAATGGTGATTGAGTCAGGGGATCAGCAAATTGAAGTTGTGTGGAGCCAGTGTACACCTTGCTCTTCTGGGAGATGCCAGGGCAAGTAGATCTGGTCACAGGTCTTCATCATCTGGGCAGACATGCCTTTGTCAGCATTGCTGAGGCAGAGCATCTCGGGGCCAGAATGATACCTCTAATAGATAATTTAGGGAGGACGTGGCTGTGGCCCCAAGGTGGCATGATCTAGTCCTTTGTGGCTCATGACTTTCTTTTTCTATCCCTTTCTACCTGTAAGTAACACTCTCATTTATTCTATCTCATTGTAAATATCCCATTTACTCTACTTTTGAATGTCTTACAGGTTACTAACTTACTACAAGTTGAGCATCTCAAATCTGAAAATCTG